ACACTCAGTATTGGAAATTAATGATAAAAACCACCACTGGTGTGCATATGGAGTGCTTACAAATTTGTTGACTCACCCATATGGGTTAACATACATATGTATGGAAAAGGTGACTCATAGCGATATATCTGAAACAAATGTAAATGCAAGAAATAGTGCAGATAACGTTTTCAATAAGTGCAATGAGGGAATATTCTATATGGTCTCACTCACATGTAGCAGAGCCCTATAGGATAGGCTCAGATCTCAATGGCCTGCGTGTGCTTATGGTGACACAGTACCCAATCGGTCCTCTAGGCGTCTGGAGATCCTTATGCATGAGAGAGAGAGAGAGAGAGAGAGAGAGAGAGGAACAAGTCATGTGACCTGAAGCATCACGTGCCGCATCACAAATTGGGCGTGTTTTCAATGTAGGGCTCACAGTTCCATATCGTCCATTTTTAAGTTGGGCAAAATGCCCTTCCTTCAACCAAGTCCGTTCCTATTTACAAGCCAGGTGCTCAATTTGAGCGATATATAAACGAAAAAATGAAGGGAGAAAGGGGGATAGTATTATTGTATATTGCTTACAAGTTAATTCATAAAATTTACATATCAAAAAAATAAAAACATCTATTGTTTTTCATTCAAAGTGACAGTACATGCATAAAGATAGGTGGTGAATAGGAGTGTGCTCTTTTAGGAGAAATGCTGATTATTATTGAATAGGTCTCAATTGTGTCAGCAGCTTATCTTCAATGATGATATCAATATTAAAATATATATATAAAAAAACATATAAATATATAGTAGGTTCCTAGCTGGTCTCCCATACAAGTACTAACCAGGCCTAAGCCTGGATAGCTTCTGAGATCTGACGAGATCAGGCATTTTCAGACTGGTATGGCCATAGAGCAAATATTTAAAATGTATGAAACATACTAATAAAAAAATAATTTAAGTTAAAAAATGGCATAACTCAAAATCATCATTGAGACCATTAGGCTGCATGGTATTCAGATTAAAAATCCATTGCATCTCCCTTTGGCCTAATTTTTTAATAAAATCTCCCCCTCTCCAATCGGGTGATACCCTCTGAATTGCATGGAATTCTAACTGGGTGGGATCGCTATTATGTTTATTTTTAAAATGTAAGGAGACACTGTGCTTTTCATAGTTGTTCCTAATGTTCCTAATGTGTTCCTGTACTCTAATGTGCAACTTTCTTTTGGTGCGCCCTACATATACAAGTCCACATGGGCATATCAAGAGATAAATAACTCTCGTGGACTGACAAGTAATTAGCTCGTTGATCTTAAACATGACTTTTTTATTTTGAGGGTGTGAGAATTCTTTTACTAGTCTCTTCTTACTTTTTGAGTTCTTGCATGCACCACAGTGTCCACAACCATAAAACCCTTTTGTTTCGTTGAAAAAGTCCCTATTACATCTTTTTAGGGGTATATGGTTAGATGTTAAAGTGTTTCTTAAATTCTTTACTCCTCTATAAACAATCTTAGGCTTCTCCGGAAGAATACTATTAAGGAGGGTGTCATTTCTTAAAATTGGCCAATACTTTGAAACTATTTTTCTAAATTCTTTACTTTTACAGTTAAAGTCACATATAAGTCCTATTGTTTGTGGTTCAACTTTATTTTTAGTGTTATATTTAATTAGATCTTTTCTGTCCTTTATTTTGACTTCTTCAAGGGCTTTCCCCAACAATGTCTCGTTATATCCCTTTTCTCTAAAATCTTTCAGAATTTTGTGGGATTGT